CACCTTATTTCTGTGCTGTCGTGCAAAATTCAGACGCTGTCATTGAAGGGACGACAACAGTGATAATAAACTCGTTTGGGTGTTTGAGGAGAAGGCCAGGCAATAATGCCCCATTTTTGTGGGAATGTTATCTGAAAGCGTTCCATTTAAAAAAGACATGAATTTTGGGGAGATGGGGTCTGTCTGCAGGTCTAGGTATTGGTCACGCGACAAATCCACGGATGGCGGGGAGGAAAAAACCGTTTGGAAAAGATTACCTGCGGACTTAACAGGCATGCATTCGACGGATAGGCACTTGTGGAGGGCTAGAAAGACGAACAGTAGTTTAGTACAGCGAAATACCGCAGTCTGACGATAGCACTGTGATACTGAGAGCAATAACCGCCACTGGAGAAGGTGTAGATCCACCGCAGGCATGCGGGCTGGACCTCAGTTCGAAGGCCGAGTTGATAGCCAGGGAATTCAACCTCTACTAAGCCCGTGAATCTAAGCGTTGCGGAAGCTCCTCGATCCTGAATCTCGACTTGTGCTACGGCGTCAGCGACACCAAACGCGTTCAGTGGTAGATGAGCAGGTCGGCATGTTTGGAAGAACGATGCATCGGATGCTGGGAGGTTAGAATTCACATCGCAGCGGCAAAGCAGAACCCAAAAACAAGACCAGCGCAGTACAACAAAATGTCACTAATCTCTCAGATGTGTGCTTGTCAATTCCTGGTTCGCACAACACTAAGACGCTAGGCAGAAGAAAATGCGTTCACTCCTGCCACAACACTTTCACCGAAAACCCCGTCGACGTAATGTTGGAGTCGGCCCGATTGAAAAGGCCAAAGTTTCGTTTGTGTTGGGAGCCGCTATCATCTAAGGCTGCACTTATATGTCTTCATGATTCAACCCAGACCGCGTTGCGTGAAATTCTGGTTGTTGAGTGGGACTGAAGCACTATGACAGGAAGAGGGGGACGAACATGAGGCGTCCATGGCTACTACACGGTGGAAAATCGTAGATTGAATGGTGAAGAGCTTGCAAACTTCGTAAAGCTGAACCGTTTAGTGGTTACCAACACCTACCTCGGGCACCCCAGGTGGCGTCTAGTCATATAATACCCTAATACTGGCAACGCGCAAACCCCAATCCTTGCATTTGTCGAGCACGCTGGGAAAGCTCAGTGCTGGACTGGGGCTGGCAGCAGCAGAGCCAATGGCTCCGATCATGGTCGTGCACGGGTCCACTTGTGAGAGTGGTCACGTATTGTCGAAAAGGCATGACCTAAGATGAAGTCGGATGTTGATAAACTCGAGGAACCTGCTGTTCCCGTGAATTTAATTTGGCTGTCCTCAGTCGCTTTACTACAATACCACATGTGGCGACCACTCTCGAGGCGTCTTCCGGCGGATGACAGTTCGGCCATTGTGCACGACTTCAAGAAGGAGACACGATCGCAGGGACAAGAGCTTTATTAGCCTGACGTTTCGGATTCCTGCTCGAATCCATCATCAGAGACAACAGCAGATACGGGTGATTCACGCACAAGGGGCTGCAGTATTTATAGGATGCAGTCGCCATGCTACCGCATAGCTATGAACATTCACGGCTCCCTCCCCCTCACCCGGGATCGTCGCACTTGGTGTGCTAATTGATTGCTGATTGCCCGACTATTTGATCCACCGACCCTGAAGTTGGGAAAAGTGTTCATCTGTGCGCTTCCCGCGTGGCTAATTACTCCGCCTAAGCAAAGTATCAGCACCGAGTATGGAAGGGGAAGATCACTGCACTTTTTAATGGACTGGGGGCTAGTAAATCATGATTCAAGTAGCTTCCGGCTCACACGGTTGTCACCTCTTGCGAGAATTTCGGCCTCGTCGAATTTGAATGTGTGGCCGGATCTCGTCGAATGAGCCACAACTTGAGAGCTGGCGTCATTTCTCCACACCGCTGCAGCGTGTTCGACCATTCTCGCTCGGACCTGGTCTTCCGGTTTCTCCGACGTATTTGCTTTGTCCGCAACTGCACCAGATCGATAAACAACTCCAGACGTTTCTTGCCGTGGCAGTAGGTCTTTCGGTTTCATTACCTGACGCCTGATGGTCGCCCCTGGTCTGTGTGCAATTTCAACCCCAAATGGTGCGAGAAGGCGGCCGACAGCTCCCGAAACGTTCTTGACATTAACACTGCGTACGACGTTGTCCAGCGTATGTCCCACAGCATAGTGGGCACGGGGACAGTGACTCGCGTGAGTAGCTTCATGGTAGTGGACTTGCGCCCCGTCATCCCTCACCCACCTTGTTCTGGTGGCAGGACAGGGTTAAGAAGGCCGGAGGTGGGGCCGAGCGCGGTGGCTGACAGAGTCAGACAGCCCGTCTACGCGTGCCACACACCTCCCGCCCACGCGCGCGATGAGCCAACTGCCTAATGAAACAGGAGGGGGTTAGGGTCCCAACTGAGTGGGAGCGTCGTAGAGACCACATTAAGGAGCCATTTCGGCATGATCCCCCGTCTTGGGAAGCAAGTTACCCCTTTGGTTGGCAGTCACGACTCCTAGCACGCAGTGATAGTTTAGAAGCGAGTCAGATTGTTTACAGTGGGGAAAATGCACTCAGTGCCGTGGGGGGCGCAGCCCTCAGTCAACTTCACTCTCTTTCACTGTCCAGACAGCAGTCTACGACCAGAGCCGGGTAGGCATCTGATGCTTCAGGCGGATAGAGGTGACTCCTGCGGAGACATGACGCCCAGAGTACCTCACAGGTGCCGGGCAACAGCGGGAGTTGTCGTGTAGACTGGGTCCAAGATAAAAACACCCAGAATGCCGATAGTGCAAGGGTTGCTTGACTTCACGGCGATCCAACCCGCTAGAACTTGCAGCGTGACACCATACAGTATGCACAATAAAGTAGCAAGGAATCCTGAAGTAGGACTGCACGACACTTCGGGTACACTTCAACTAACAGAACAACAAGGCCGCTGTCCCAGGCTTTCAGATGGGTCAGCCCTAGCCCATGTCTCAAGTGCTGCCAGCGTGCGTCGAGAGCGCTAGTCTCGGACAGGTCTCTCAGCTGCCGCCCAGAATCCGAATATGACTGCGGCCACCACACACTGGCAGTCGGAACGCTTGAAGCACCGGAGAGGCAGGAGACCACTACGGCATCCAGGAAGAGCTGCGATCCAGTGGAAATTGGGGAATGCCTTTCAACCGTAGTAACTGGCCGCGTGCACAATATTCCGAACCACATTTATGAAACTGACGTTGGTCGCACCCTGGAGAGACATTGTCTTTATTTACCTCTTCGAGAAAAGCGACAATTCACTGTGGATGAACTGCCGTGGCAGTTATCAACGTGGTACAGCAGCCTACGCAGCAGTGTCTGGATAGCAAATAAATGCAACTTCTGACCGGGCACGTCCTTGTCAACACTTGTCACTTCAACGAATGTTCGGACGCCGCTTCTGTGTGCAACAATTCAGTCTCATCTGGATTGTTGATTTGGCCTGCCTATCTGAACTTCCAGAACCTATCACGCTGCGCAATAGCGTGTCACTAGAGGTCGTTCGGTTCAAGACTCTCACCTTAGAACATGGACCAAAGTTGGAGTGAATGACGAGATTGTCAGGCAGGCACTGCCTCACCCGATCTCAACCTTGACTGTACAAGGCATTTGACCTAGTAAATGGAGGAAAGTCAACCCTGAACGCACATCTGGCTTAACCGTCCTCAGCAGTTTGTCTCAAAGAAACTGAAGTAGAGAGCGTGCACGCAGGACCTGGTGGACCTACAACATGAAGCACGCCGTATTAATTTTGATGATATCAAAACTGCAAGTACGTCCAGTTTTATCGAGTACTTTGGCCCTAAGGAAATCGGGTAGACGCTAATCATCGACAGGTCGGACAGGTGTTGTGTCCGACGACAACCAACACGACATAACATGAAGCCTTAGTCAGGACTGGGATAAACTTCGACTGCTCAGTCCTCGTCGAAAGCAGTTCGGAAGTGAAGCGGTGGTTGTTACACTCGGCCTGGTGAGACAGCAGGCTGCCATATGCACAGAGGACAAATTTGGACGAATAATGCGCACGAAGGCCGAGAATGTGTTGTCGACTGTGTAGGGGAGTTCAAAACCTCAACAGCAGGGGTGTCACTTTCCCAGAAACGGCACCAAGTTTCAGACGGTGACAGTGTAAAATTCGGGGCCCAACTATTTCGTCTTTCGAGAATAAAAGACAAATTTGGATTCAAAAATGTATTTGCAGAACACGACGCCAGCTTTGGCCGCGGGACGATCAGTGCGATGTCCCCTTCGTCTTGCAAACCATAAGAATGACAATGGTGCTGAGAACTACCTTAGACCGCTTTCTGACGTTAGAGCTCAGGCGGATGGAGCCGAAGAATCATCCACACATTGGAAATGCACCTCAGGTTTTCGTAATAAGACATGATACCCGAAATAGGCTGCCACGGAAGTAGAAACACCATATATAGATTTCGAGGGCGAGGACGAGCTAAAAACCAGCAACCGCAGCTCAACTGCGAGAAGGGAAATTCAAAACAGCCCAAAAACAAAGTCGTCGGTCACGAACGAGAGCATCAGCACGGACGACACCCTAACTCGGGGGATGAAAATCCTGTTGGCTTGATTAAGAAAACGTGTACGTAGACGTTTGAGAAGAGTACCTCAAGTGCTATCTCGTATAAATAAACAGCTTTCAGGATCTGAGCAGAGGATGTGAACAGCTTAGGAAGCGTACGGGGGAGAGCGTGCAACTCGAAGTTGAGCTCCAGACAATGTTTGGACAAGCGTACCGCGCAAACCAAAAGAATGGCTGTGTATGCACGAAATAACTCTCTAGAGCGCCGACATACAAGGGCAGAAACAGGGGGAATAAACATTCGGTAGGGCGGAGTAGATGAAGTGGCCAGTTATCCTACAGAAGGACCTGACCGAATTTACAAAAGCAGGAAGTTGGGATCAAGGTGGGGCGCAAAGGGCCAAGAGCGGAATCGCATTAAAAGTTGTGCAAGTGCAGGCGGAACACGGAATTTGTAATACAGTAGCTGTTCTCCATCTTTTTGAGTACGAAACACTCCGAAAATGGCAACGCACGTGCCTCATCATCGCACTAAAATGGAAAAAAGCGTACAATAGGACACCGCAAAAAGGCGCAATTATTCACAAGTCTCTTTTCAGGCTGTCCTTTTACCCAATCCTATGTAACTTGATGGCAGGACCTTTTGGGTAGTGTTGAAAGACAATTAGGGGAAGAACAGTTACTTATGCGTGGGCGCGGGCCTACTCTAGTGTACAGAAATAGTGACCGAGCTGTACTGCGAAATCTTCGGAAACCTACCTCATCATGTTTCTGATATTAATTAGTACACCGTATTCAACTACGGAAGAATTTGAATAACGGTCTTTCAATGTGGAAGGTTTTGCAGTAGTTAACGATGAATCTAACACAATACCATTGACTGCAGCCTTAGAAGAACGAACCTATTTAGGCCAGAACGTACGTTCACTGTCCAAAAGTAGTCAAATTATTGTGACGCTCTGAGAATGACGGCAGGCAGACGTTGACACCATATTTGCTCAGTCCTCGTCCAAAATGGTGTAGCAATCCGAGACGGTACGATAGTTATGGGTGAGATAGAAGTAACAAACAGTAATGACTAGGGTGGGAATATTACTAAATCCACCAACCTAAGGACACATTTGACAGGATTTCCAGCAGGTTCTCTTGAGTCCTGTCATTAGGTTGCAAATAACATTCAATTTCTCACACAAAACACCACACATCGTTTTATGCTAGTTGCCAACTGTCTAAAGCAACATTACGGTTTGTTTTTGGCAACGAGGTAGGGCATGGAGTATTACACATGGGTATTTGCATGACGTGATGATGGCTGTGGAAACGGCTAGGTATAGGCATTTCGCGCGAACTCCATTAGAAACATGCGCGCAACGGTGGATGGAGACCGGGCAGCACGCACAGTAGCATATTGCGAGTTAGCATGATCCTTTATAGCATTGCAATAGTCGATTCGTAACTCTTTCGATAAAACATCGCCTAACGCAGTTCGTCCTGCGGTCGTAAAAGGCCGCATCGACTACGCGCGCCACCCCACGGTCTGATGATAAAACTGGGCGAACGGAATAAGCTGTGAAGTACCTAGGGCTTCTGTATTTCCTGTGCATGTCGGACGCACCTGGAAGGGAAAGTCTCATGTCATTTTGAAATCCCCGGCAGCCAAACCGGCACCTAGAAGTAAGATCTGAGCTGCTTAACAATGTTCACTCAGTGGTTAGTGCAATGCTATCCGTAACACTGCGAAAGCCACACCACACCGCCAATTATATCATACGAGCAAGTAAATTTGTCGGAACCCTTCCCCCCCCCGCCCCGAGCAAAGGTGCTGAATGCATTAAGAGGCGATTTCCTGTAAATGCAAAGCGTGGATTATTATCGGAAGACGGATGGCTAAAAACTAGCCGGAAACTCGTTTCACGAAATAGAAAATGAAGTAAATTGCATAATGTGGTGGGAAGAGGATAAATTAAATAAAGACAACACGGAAGGAGATACCTTAAGTTGCCCATCAACAAAGACGACAATGCCGTTTTCCATTGGTTGACAATCACAACTGGTAATATTTATCTGGATAGTTTTCCAAGTAAGAGTCTACAAACTGATTAAATGTCCTAACCGCTTTTACCTGAAAACGCTCCATAATGGCTGCACGACCGTTAAGCGGAGTGCCCTCATATGTCATCAGTGCTTGCTCCTAGAAAAAAATAGTAAGCAAAAGAAAACATACATGGTAAAAGTCCAGAACGAATTGCCTGTTTTGTTGCAATTTGGCATAGTACTGGTTTACGAAAGACTCCCCAATAGCTTGAAATTCAAGCGGGAACAATGAGTAATTCAAAGCCATGCGAAACCAGACGGCGCCGACGCAGACTAAGAGAAAACCCCGCCAGAACACGGTTCCCAAGTCCAGTTCGTTCTGATTCGCTTAGACTACAAAATCCGAATCATCGAGTCTGAAGTCGAGAACAGAGACTTGTAAGTTATACGGTATCCTTCTATTATTATCTTCCGGAACCATAAAGTCAAGTAAGTTGCTGCAGTCCTTATCTAAAATCCCAGGAACGTATATGAGAAATAGTGAAATAGAGGGATAACATGGAAATCAATGACTTTGAAAATATTTTGTTAGTTTACCGCAAAGTTGAGACCAAAAACAATTAAAACGGACAAAACTGTGTGGCAACTAAATCTATGGAAAACAGAACTGGTCAAAAAACGGAGGAAATCGACGAAAAAAATTCGTTTTGACGAGGAAATATCCGAAAATTTGGAATATGACTTTTTGCTTGCTTAGATATAAATACGGAAAATTTATCAACGACGAAATTAACATTTCACGACTAACGAAAAATTTCGTTTACATCTCCTCATTTTAATGTATCGCAACGTTTAGCTGACGTCAGCCTATTCAGTACTGTCTGAGGAAAACATCATTCCTGGTATAGGACTCGAAATCGAGTCATTACTGTGGATTTCGACCAACTTATGGGTATTTTTCTTATTCTTCGCAGTCTTATAAAAAGTGGACAACAGTTCAAAGCGATTGTTGTTTATGTGATCCCACATTTCTGCCATTAGCTGAGGTCAGAAATAGAGATGTTGGGAGATTTAGGGAAACTGCCCATTGCATCTTTAATGCATTCAGTGTGAAAAATTTGAAAAAGAAACTGAATTGCAACGATTTGCAGTCTGAAATTATCTGACGGAATTATTCGTAACTTAGAGCAAGTCGGTGTAGACTGGACGCTCATTTGCTGAGAAACTACTGTACACATAATCACGATTGTTTTCGCGGCATCAGTTTCGCCTGGCTCATATTTACCGTTAACTTCTAAACCTCCCCGTTTGCAGATTTAAAAAATGATTTTATTTCTGTTTGTCGATATGAATATGGAGCTGAAAGGCGAAAACCTAATCTTAATAATAATTTTATCCATTCAAGACCCGTGGGGGTCATTTTATAGCAAGCAAAAATACTTTTTACATTAATTTTATAATTTTAGACGAGGCATACAGAATTTACACAATACTAAATTCATAGTAATTGTATTAGTAGTATGATTCGAAGAAAGTTGAGCAGCAGTGAAAAAACTCCTTACATAAAGAAAATGAGTATGATGGGATTAGCAGTATGGAAAAAAAAACTGTTGCTTCTCAATATATAAAAAGCAGGCAGGACCGGCCTGTATATGACAGTGTGTAACGGATTTCATGAAGGGGTAAGTCGGCAGGTCAGGCAGGACTGGCCTGTATGTGGCCCTGAGTAAATTGTTCGAGACGGGGATTATCAAGGCGGAATTCATATGCCGGATGAGGCCATCCATGGCAAAGAGGCGAAATTGGCATAAACTGACTTAGTTTTTCGTGTCTCGATACCTTCACTATCTACCGAGCACCCATAACAGAACAAATCACCGACACTCATATACTGTGACAGACGGACAAATTTTTCAGGCGACCTTTTATCATGGGCATAGGGGAATTCGACGCGCTGTGAATTAACTGGAACACCGTTCAAGCGTCAGGACAAAAATCTACCTCTGAACAGTGTTCGCTGCACAAAACAATGAAGGCGCTTCCCGCACAAGATGTAACGTTTCCAACCCGAGCACGTGAAGGACAACAGCCTAACTGCCTGGATCTCTAAATTTAAGTTTATTCGGTTTATTCAATAATTATGACAGATAAGGCCTTTGAAAAACCGATTGGCTATATGCCAGTGCCAAAAGAAGCGAAGAGACGAGTCCCAAGAAGTAGCTTTGAGGAAGGAGACACGATCGCCGGGACAAGAGCTGTATTAGCCTGACGTTTCGGATTCCTACTCGAAACCATCATCAGAGACAAAAAAGCAGAAACGGGTGTTTGTTGCACAAGGGGTTGCGGTATTTATAGGATGCAGTCGCCATGCTACCGCATACCTATGA